TTTTACCCACCTCGGAAGGATGGAAGGCTGAGTCAACCCTGAGCCGGTGAGATTTGAACAGCCGAACTGCAGTCAGCTGAAGTAGCCTGCAGTGCAGGACATAGAATGGAATAGAATAGGAATAAGAATAGACTAGAGTAAGAAAAGAATAGAAATAAGAATAGACTAGTCTAGAATAAGAATAGAATAAGAATTAGAATAGAATAAGAATAGAATAGAATATAAGAATAGAATAAAAATAGAATATGATAAAAATAGAACAGAACAGGTCTATTGTCACTTTGAATGTACAATTGGCAAACATTAAAAATGAAATTTTGTTTCATACAGCTCTTAAAAGGTTCACCCCCTCCGAGTTTACACTACATAAACATTAGATAAATAAATAAATACAAAATGATGTATATACCCACATATATGACAGAGAAACAACAATCTAGTTTGGATATATACATCAGTGGTGAGTTGTTAACCGGGTTTACTGCCGATTGGCTTGTGCTCAGGCACGCATGCAAAACTTCTGCGCATGTGCAGAAGCATCCGGGTGGGTAGGCGGAGCCTCCCCCCGCTGTCACCACTACTGGTTCGGCCGAGCTAGCAGCAACCCACCTCTGGTATACATGTTTACATTTGTTTCTAGATGTTCACAGATTTGGGTTTTTTTTATAATTGTTTCCAGTATCTTCCCAGGTATTGATGTTAGGCTGATTGGTCTGTAGTTTTCTGGGTCTGTTTCTCTCCCCCTTTTTTTTAATTTGGGAACCACATCAGCTTTTTTCCAATCCTCTGGTAGTTCCCGGATGCTTTTAAAGATATGGTACAATGGTTCTGAGATGACCTCTGCCAGAACTCTGGGATGTAAATCTAACAGATCTCTGCGATTTATATTGATCAAGACCAGACAAGTGTTCTCTTACCATTTTCTTGCTTATTTTAATTTTGATTTCTAGTCTGTCTTTTACAGTTATATTTTTGGTAGTTTGGACTGCAGTTTCTTTTTGTGTAAAGATTGGTGCAAAGAATGAGTTAAGCAGGTCTCTTTGCTGCCTGTTAGTTTCTTGCCATCTTCTCTCTTTAGTGAACTCGCTTTTTTACTTTTACTTTTTTATTGCTATTTATATGTTGAAAGAAACTTTTTTAACAAAATTATCTTCAATTTTTGTTGCAAGTCTTTGTTCATTCTGAGCCTTTGCTTTCCTGACTTTATCTTTGCAAATTCAGGCTCTCTGCTGATATTCTGCCTTAGCTGTGTGTCCCTCTTTCCATTTTTTTGTACTTGTTCTTTTTGTCTTTTAGTTTATCGCAAAGATCTTTGTGAAGCCATGCTGGTTTCTTCTTGGATTTCTTGTTTTTCTTTTTCAGTGGCATTGTGCTGGACTGGGCTTTTATGATCACATTCTTCAGTGTTTCCCACATTTCTTGAGTTGTTTTCCCCTTAAGGATTTCCATCCACTGAATTTTTCTTTGGCTCTCTCTGAGTTGTTAAAATCAGCTCTTTTAAAGTTTTAAAGTCACTGGTTGACTTGTGTTTGCATTATATTGAATTCCAGCATGACGTGGTCACTTTCACCCAAAGTTCCGGCAACTTCAACTCCCTCTATCACTTCTCTATTAGTAAGAATTGGGTCCAGTATAGCTTTTCCTCTGGTTCCTTCATCTACCTTTTTTTCAGTGTCATTGTAACTTTGAACGGTCACTAAACAAACTGTTGTAAGTCGAGGACCACCTGTATTTTAGGTAGGTTGACCCTTGCTACCGGCCTAGAATTTACCTTGAGTTAATTTAGCCTTGGCCACCTGATCTTGCCTCAAAAGGTTGCTTTTGAGTGGCAGTCACATATATGAGTTGCACCAGAAAATGCTGACTTTGGTCTACTCTAGATAAGATTATATTCCATTCACATCAACCCCTGTGACCTCTCAGCCAGTCTCTTGTTTACTTCTCAAACAGGAGCAAGTCCTTTCCATCTTTTGGCCCAAGCTCCAAATCAGATTTGAAGAACTTTGGACTCCTACTCACCGGAATTATTCACACTGTGCTGGATTATGTATTGGGAGGCAAAAAGGTACACACACACACACACACACACACACACACACACACACACACACCTGTCTGCAAACTAGAATCAAAATGCAGGACCCAAAACTAAAAATCAAGGCTCACTGCACGCTGGGGGAGGCACATAAGAATAATGGAAAACACACCCTGTAGACAAGGAGATGCACCTGTTTTTATACCAGTAATGGTATCTTCTTATCTTCAATACCAGTTCAGTAGTGAGAGCATGCGCAGAAGGTCCTTGATGACGTCTGGGTGGGTGGGGGGATGGAGCCTCATGCCGCCACCACTACCGGTTCACCCGAACCGGTGCAAAGCAGCAGAATACCACCTCTGATTTATACCAATAGCACTTAGACTTATATACCGGTTCACAGGGCTTTACAGCCCTCTCTAAGTGGTTTACAGAGTAAGCCTCTTTCCCCCAACAATCTGGGTCCTCATTTTCATGAACTAGGAAGGATGAAAGACCAACTTGTGCTCTTCAGGATCGAACGTCTGCCAGTGGAGAGACAGAGACAGAAACAGTGAGAGATTGAAGCAGAGAAATAGAGGCAGAGAGAGGGATGAAGCACAGAAGGAAGGAAGGAAGGAAGGAAGGAGAGAGAGAGAGAGAGAGATAGCAATAGCACTTAGACTTATATTATACCGCCTTACAGCCCTCTCTAAGCGGTTTACAGAATCAGCCTATTTCCCTCCAACAATCTGGGTCCTCATTTTACTGATCTCGGATGGATAGAAGGCTGAGTCAACCTTGAGCCTGGTGGGGATTGAACTGCTGGCTATCTACCAGAACAATGGCCAATCACCAGGAGACGGTGAGTTCTAGTCCTGCTGAGGCAGGACATTAAGTAAAGCAGGACATAAGAGTGAGA